CATTTTCGTCTAAAGACTAAGACTAAATCAAAAACAGCTGCCAAAATTAACACTGGAGAGCATGTGTGTGAAGAAGCAGGAAATAAAAAGGAACTCACCTTGTGGTATAACCGGCAAGAGAGAAAGCCTTTGAGCTCCATACTGTTTCAGAGACAATCCTTGATAATCCATGATATGGCGTTTCATCACCGCAGCATTTAGTTTAGACAGTAGCTGCCGGGTCCCGCATGGGCTCAGACCCCTCCTTTTTAAAAGCTTTATACCCAAATCAGCACTTTTGAAACAGGAAGTGAAATAGAGGGATATGAGGCATGGCTAGAATGGGTGATCTGTTTGGTGTTTGGAGCAAAACACTTCATAGACATGTTTTTTATATATTTGTATATATCTAAGTAAAAAGTACCCATAACTAGCAGCTGTTTTAAAGAGTACCTGACCTCCCTTTATATTAATAGAACAATAATGTCATTGTTAGCTAATGAATGTTTCCATGCTGAACAACGGCAACATGACAACGTTTTCATTGGTCCCTCTTCTTTAGAGAAGACCAGGAAATGATGGATACACGGATCGTGTTCAAATCAATAGGCACGCAATGACTCTAAAGAATAATGATCACGCCACCAAACACACATTCAAACTAAAGGAACCAGCCTGTTTGGGAAATGTGAGAAGTAGAAAGTACAGGTATTTGGGTTCAACATGTAAGAAGTAGAAAGTACAGGTATTTGTGTTCAACATGTAAGAAGTAGAAAGTACAGGTATTTGAGTTCAAAATGTAAGAAGTAGAAAGTACAGGTATTTGTGTTCAACATGTAAGAAGTAGAAAGTACAGGTATTTGTGTTCAACATGTAAGAAGTAGAAAGTACAGGTATTTGTGTTCAACATGTAAGAAGTAGAAAGTACAGGTATTTGTGTTCAACATGTAAAAAGTAGAAAGTACAGGTATTTGGGTTCAACATGTAAGAAGTAGAAAGTACAGGTATTTGGGTTCAACATGTAAGAAGTAGAAAGTACAGGTATTTGTGTTCAACATGTAAGAAGTAGAAAGTACAGGTATTTGTGTTCAACATGTAAGAAGTAGAAAGTACAGGTATTTGTGTTCAACATGTAAGAAGTAAAAGTTAAAAGTCGCCAGAAAAATAAGTAGTGGAGTAAAGTACTGAGGAGTAACGGATTACATGTAACTAACAGGTAACTAGTGATTGTAACAGATTACATTTTTAAAAAGTAACCCTCCTAACTCTAATAAAGACACTTTCAAATGTGAATCGGGGTGAAAGCAGAGCTGTGGTTCGATCTCAGATTCCCCGCTGGCCCGGAGCTATCAGAGCCATTGATTGGCTCGTGTGATTCTGCTCTGATTTGCCTCAGCCAATCAATGCGCTGCAGACTCACTTCCTGTGACTGTGCGGCCATTAGACTAGAGGAGGAAAATCCCCAAAGCTTCTTCTGTTCCTAAAACTCTCCGAAATCTAGTTAAAAATGAAAGGAACTATGGAGCTTCTTTCAACCCCCTGCAGCCCTGGTTTACTATTGTAACATAAATAAAGCTTGTTTTTTGTAAAGTATTAGAGGAAGAGGACATGTTCTGCTCTTGTTCAGGTGTATATCAGTATGTAGTGTCTCCACTTTAAAGAGTCCTCTCCTGCTGATGTTCAGGTGTATATCAGTATGTAGTGTCTCCACTTTAAAGAGTCCTCTCCTGCTGATGTTCAGGTTTATATCAGTATGTAGTGTCTCTACTTTAAAGAGTCCTCTCCTGCTGATGTTCAGGTGTATATCAGTATGTAGTGTCTCCACTTTAAAGAGTCCTCTCCTGCTGATGTTCAGGTGTATATCAGTATGTAGTGTCTCTACTTTAAAGAGTCCTCTCCTGCTGATGTCCAGGTGTATATCAGTATGTAGTGTCTCTACTTTAAAGAGTCCTCTCCTGCTGATGTTCAGGTGTATATCAGTATATAGTGTCTCTACTTTAAAAGAGTCCTCTCCTGCTGATGTTCAGGTGTATATCAGTATGTAGTGTCTCTACTTTAAAGAGTCCTCTCCTGCTGATGTTCAGGTGTATATCAGTATGTAGTGTCTCTACTTTAAAGAGTCCTCTCCTGCTGATGTTCAGGTGTATATCAGTATGTAGTGTCTCTACTTTAAAGAGTCCTCTCCTGCTGATGTTCAGGTGTATATCAGTATGTAGTGTCTCCACTTTAAAGAGTCCTCTCCTGCTGATGTTCAGGTGTATATCAGTATGTAGTGTCTCTACTTTAAAGAGTCCTCTCCTGCTGATGTTCAGGTGTATATCAGTATGTAGTGTCTCTACTTTAAAGAGTCCTCTCTTGCTGATGTTCAGGTATATATCAGTATGTAGTGTCTCCACTTTAAAGAGTCCTCTCCTGCTGATGTTCAGGTGTATATCAGTATGTAGTGTCTCTACTTTAAAGAGTCCTCTCCTGCTGATGTTCAGGTGTATATCAGTATGTAGTGTCTCTACTTTAAAGAGTCCTCTCCTGCTGATGTTCAGGTGTATATCAGTATGTAGAGTCTCTACTTTAAAGAGTCCTCTCCTGCCCATGTTCAGGATTGTAGCCATTGAAGACCATTTACATGCAAAAACTTATATAACAAACTGGTGCAAAGTTTTAAGAATATATTAAGTAGTTAATTTAAGAAACTCAAGCACTCTGATCTAGATCATGGGTACATTTACATAATTTAAAACCATGCTGTTCCTATTTCATGGTTTGTAGAATCATATTCATTCAATAATTAACACCATATGTCCCTTATCTGACTTCTATGTTTTTGCTATATTGTGGTTTGCATGTCCTTCAGCTCCATTGCTGTTTCTTTGTCTGTTTTGGAAGATTTATACTAAAATCACACTGCATATTTTGAAACGAAGGCCACATTAATATTCATGCTCTTCCCACAGTCCACTTGTAAAACACATTCAGCTGTATATGTACAGTATGTGTGCATAGATATAATATACATCGACCTGTTTTAATTGCTCCTCCTATTCCCGTGCTCATTACCCACTTTTGTGTTTTTTATGCTACATTATTTATTCTGATGCACAACTCATTTCCCGGCGGAGGAATCAATGCATCTTCATCTTCATCTTCATCTTCTGTAATTTCATCTCAGAGGTCAGTGACGGATACATCGGTTTTAGTTATAAAAGAGTTGCACTGCATGCTTACGTCAGCACGGCTTCTAATGATCCCTCAAGAGAACAAAGCTAATATAACTTTGCAGAGGAAAAGTAAGCTTTGTGTTTTCTGTTAGGGTGCGGAGGCAAAGAGACTGCATGAGGTCAAATAAACACATGCAGTCTTACTACAATGAGTTATCTACCTGTAAACATGCAGACATCTAACACATGTTTTCAGATTAAGCACAGTTCAGTTTCTGCACAAAATGTCTATGATTTTAAAAGTCAAAGCAATGTGCATTTATTTAACTGGATTGCTTGGGAATCATATTGTTTCAACGTTTCTTTCAGTATCAAAGTAATCCAGTGAGATTTGTCGGTACATGCATGGGTACAATGCAGAAAATATATCACCTGATAGATACATCTGCGTACGTTTAATGGTTGTTATTTAACCAAATAATATGATATCGGAAACCCCAGAGGAAATATGAGAATGTATGTAAAATAAAAAAAGTTGGATGAAAAGTACTTGCACTCTTTGTCTGATTACATATTGAGACCATTTCTGGAATGTGTCTTTGGTCAAGACACACACACACACAGAAACACACACACACACATGCACGCACGCACGCACGCACACACACGCACGCACACACACACAGCACTTCATTCTCTGTCTAATTTAGCCATTGATTTTTCTAACACCAGATCGTAACACAGATAGTAGAAGACACAAGGCTTCAGTGTTTTATGGTCTCTGTGACACACGCACACACACACACACGCACACACACACACACGCACACACACACACACATCCACACACACACACACACACACACACACACACACACACACACACACACACACACACACACACACACACACACACACACACACACACACACACACACACACACACACACAGAAACACACCACAAGACCAACCCAACATGTCCTCACAGATCCAGTTGTTTTTCAATGCTTGGTCACGAGTACATCAACACAAACAAAAACAACGAAGCTAAGAAAAGGGGACGTTTAATCCCGTGGGATCCTCACTGAAAGAAAAACACTGTCTTCTTCTGTTAGGAGATCTAACCATGGCAGTGTGTGTGTGATTTGTGTTTGTGTGTTTACAGCTGCAGTGTGTGACTGAGCTCAGATCAGATACGAACCAGCAGACACAGCTGTACTGCCATCACACACACTCAATCACACACTCATACACACACGCACCAAGCTGTTTGAGTTAAAGCACGAAACTGGAGTTTGAACAAGATTATCTTAGTTTAGCACATATGCTAATAGCATTGGGAAACAATTAACCTGGCTCTGTCCAAACATTGAAAGTACAATCCTCTAATCTCTAAACCTCTCCTTCCTAAATCCGTGCACAAACTAAACAGGACAAATTGTGGTTTCAGTAAAATATTACAAGGTGTAAGCACACCTCCTCTACAGCCATGAAAATACTAAATAAATACAAATATTTAATAATAATAATACAAAGAAAATTAAATTAAAAAAATACACAAATTCAAAATAAAAGAAATAGATCATTGTAAAAAATAAATTAAACAATAAAATAAAAACTATTAAAAAATGAAAAAAACCTCCTTTAATTTTAGATACGTACATTTCCTCACAGAAAGGAATGATACTGATTTAAAGACCCCTGTCTAATAAAACTGAATTATCCTCAAGGAAAAAAACAACAATATCCATGTATCCTCTTCAGACATGGATACCTCACACACAGGAAGCCTCATTTTCCTGTTTTACCGTGATCAAAGCTGCACATTGCACAAAACACAACAGGATATTATGGGATGGACTCACAGGCGTTGGTGACGGCGAAGCTGTTGGCCGTCTCAATGTTGTCCACGTGAGGCACGAGGTTGAACGGCGCCTCCGAGGCGTTCGGGCTTGTGTTGTGCAGGAAGATCGCCAAACGAAAGGCGGTGTATTCCTGATCCGTGTTCCTGATGAACAGACCGCCTGAGAGTGGGGGAGGAAACAGGGTAAAGGTTATTACAAGGGCTTGGTTGAATACTCAATGCTGATTGGACAATTTGGACATTCTAGAGGTTTGTTATGTTCCGCTAGCAGACCGTTGCTAAGGAGAACAGAATGTTGCTAAGGAGAACAGAACGTTGCTAAGAAAAGCAGAACGTTGCTAACGTCTACATTTCTCTTATTTTCTCTTATTGCCTTTGTTTTTTATGCTGCTGCAACGCAAACATTTCCCAAATTGTGATCAATAAAATACTTATCTATCAATCTAAAGAGAACAGAACATTGCTAAGGAGAACATCATGTTGCTAAGGAGAGCAGAATGTTGCTAAGGAGAACAGAACGTTGCTAAGGAGAGCAGAATGTGGCTAAGGAGAACATAATGTTGCTAAGGAAAACAGAATGTTGCTAAGTAGAACAGAACGTTGCTAAGGAGAACAGAACGTTGCTAAGGAGAACAGAACGTTGCTAAGGAGAACAGAACGTTGCTAAAGAGAACAGAGCGTTTCTAAGGAGGATCAATGGACTAAGTGCAGTCATATCGATCTGCAGAAATAAGTCCGGTCTATTTAACATCAGCGGTGGACAACAAACATGAGTTTTTTTCCATTTTTATATTTGTGGAGAGTACGAAACTCTGGATGCTAGCAGGCCGTTGCTAAGGAGAACAGAACGTTGCTAAGGATCAGGAAGTAAACAATAACAGGAACCGCAGAAAAAGACAGACAGGAAGTAAACACTAAAGGGAACAGTAGAAGAAGAAGACAGACGGACAGGAAGTAAACACTAACGGGAACAGCAGAAGAAGACAGACAGGAAGTAAACACTAACGGGAACAGCAGAAGAAGAAAGACAGGAAGTAAACACTAACGGGAACAGCAGATGAAGACAGACAGGAAGTAAACACTAACGGGAACAGCAGATGAAGACAGACAGGAAGTAAACACTAACGGGAACAGCAGATGAAGACAGACAGGAAGTAAACACTAACGGGAACACTGTATTGGGCTATGGCAGCGTTTGAAGACTTTAATAGTTTCAGAAAACCTCAATTGGTTAAAAGATAAAAGAAACCAAGAAAATGATCGTATTGGAAATGTCTGTTTCTTTTGCCAGAACAACCTCAGTTTTTTCAAGCTACATTTTTCAGAGTTTCACTGACGGTTTTAGGGTCTGTGGTTAGAGAGGAACCTCTATCATGTTAGGAGGACACAGCTGAGTGGACTATATATATTAAAAGTCATAAAAAGGTCGATATTGGTCTGGTAAATCACTATAGGAGACAATGGCGTGTTAATCCTACAGGATAGCCAATCATGAATCTTTTAAGCACCACTGGGCTTTGGGACAATGGTGGATACCGTCTGATTGGCATGTAAATCCCATTTGTTTCACACCAATGCAAGCGGAAAAATATATACTATTCACCAGATATCATTCCTGGATCAACACTGCTTTTCATTGCTCGAGTGTCAGGAATCAGTTTGGCATCAGATATACGACTCTGCTCTATTTTCTTTTACATCTCCATATATAAGAAGATCTTAAATACGCTGTTCATGGTTGTGCAAATGTCAGCGGTGTTTTAGGTTTTGAAGCACTTTGCTTCACATTTGAAAACCTAACTTAAGAGGATGAGACGATATATAAATGTCATTTAAAGCAAAATGCCAGGGTGTTCTTTTTATGGCTGACCTCTTCACTTTAGATATTTCATTCCTTTATGATGCCCACTTGTGTTAATCCTACCCATATCTTTGCATAACTAGAAAAAAGTACAGGAGCAGCTTTGAATAACATATCATTTGATGGTTTCACGTCCCATTGACGCACATCTTTCTAATCGATCAGCCTTTTCAAATTCAAATTTTAAAACTTCTGATTAGAGGAGAAACAATGTCTCAAGCTTTGACCTACATCTCTCTTATTCAGCTTCGACTTTCCCTTCTGCCTCTCCAAATGAGATTCAGTACTCACTGTAGGGTGCCCCTGACTTTGCATTTCATAAAGGCCATATTTTTATATTCCAACAACAAGACTGGATCCAAAGATACTGTTTGTTTTTGACCTCATTTCCACCTTGTGTACATGGTCTGACTTTGAACAAGGGTTACATAATGGCAGACCTATTTACTTTTATACAAACGCAGATATTATGAGCTTGTTGGCTAGCATCTCCCTGGTTCACTAGACTAAAAGCCAATGGGATTTTTCCATGTGATTTTTGATTATTGTAGTTTAAAAACGTTTATGATACTTACACGTGTAGTTCAGCAGGATTGTCTCCACATATTACAATACAGTCTCACGGCATTTCGTGTTATAGTCACAAAATTAATCTATTGATTCGCGTTCACCAACACGATTTCGCAATTTTTTTCGTGTCACACAGAACGATTTTAAAAGCAATGTAAATAATAATAAATTAGAAGGAAAAAGACATTTAAAAAAAAATACAGATTTCAGTATTCTGACACAGAACGATTTTAGAAGCAATGTATTTCTATAGAGTGGCGAAGTCACGCCCACTTACTTCCGGGTAATGGGACCTTATTTCGGAAAAATTATGCATTGAAATCAATGGGGAGAGAAAACTTATCTTTCGATCCCGTTTGAATTGTGCCATGAATTACACATATGATGTTTGTCAATCTTAAAAAATAATTTCCATGTCAAAAAAGTCACAGTTTGTCGTACAACTGTTGAAATATAAGACTATGAAAAATACGTAACTAGAAAGACTACAAATCCCAGAGTCGCGTAAGTGATGTCACAATTGTTTTCCTCCACTAAGAGATAGCTAAGATCAGCGCCATATAGATATAATCTATCTATATGGCGCTGGCTAAGATAAGATCACTTTAACAAGATGCCTGTGTGCTTAGTACCAGGTTGTTATTATACCAGCAATGGGTCTTGCTCGTTCTTTTGCTTCCCGTCTGATGAAAGGACCAGGAGTGGCTTGATCAAGTTAGCTACCTAGCTAGTAGCTAGCACGTTAGTTAGCATTACAGCCTTGTCATTTTTATTAGCCTTAACATGAAGTAACATTAAGTAACCCAAAATGTTAAACAGTAAGAGTAGTAGTCATATTTCGTGAACCCTTTGAATAGTACTGTCACCGGTGTGATCATTCTATAATACACCATTTAAGCCCGGGGGAGAAATGCTAACGCTAACGTTAGCATCGGCGATCTTCTCTACTTCATGCTATCTGCACAAATGGTTGACATTAAACATTAAAACGACCAGGCAGTTCAGAGAGAATCAAAGGAAGGCAGGCAGGCAGCTTTGCATGACATTCTTCAGGACGTGTTTCATTGTGGTGATAGTGAGGGTAGTCAATCGTTTTGTTGACAAGACAGTAGTGACGGCCATCTTGGTGACGTGTGTTGTTGACCAGAGATGTAGTTCATTGAGCGTTTCACACAAACAAATGTGTTACTTCACATTTTCTTTTTTTTGACTTGCAAAATTATCTTTTAAATTGACAAACATCATATGCGTAATTCATGGCACAATTCAAACGGGATCGAAAGATAATCTTTCTGTCTCCATTGACTTCAATACATAATTTTTCCGAAATAAGGTCCCATGGAGGTCCACCGGAAGCGGAGGGACTTCGCCACTCTATTGGTAGTATGTTTCGTGCCTGCACCAAATAATAACATATTAGAAGGAAAAAAAGATGACATAAAATACAGATGTCAGTATTCTGAGGCTCTGAGACATTTCTTTTCCTCACTGACGGCAAAAAAACTCAGACATTATACAATTTAAAATAAAAGGGATAGGGTTAGGCTTAGGGTAATATATTGAGTAAAAACATGTTTTTATGAACCACACAGCTTCTGGTCTTCCAAGACCCGACTGGACAAAAAGACGTGTTGCAGGCACGAAACATACTACCAATAGAAATACATTGCTTTTAAAATCGTTCTGTGTGACACGAAAAAAATGCGAAAATCGTGTTGGTGAACACGAATCAATAGATTAAATTAATTTCGTGACTATAACACGAAATGCCGTGAGACTGGGTTGCACATTAACACCACTTGATTTCTTAAGTAAAAAGCTAACGTTAGGCTATAAAGGAACTACAGCACGGTCACATGACTTCACGTCACCACCGCTAAGCTAAAGGTGACTAATGTTGGGCTATAAAGGAACTACAGCACGGTCACATGACTTCACGTCACCACCGCTAAGCTAAAGGTGGCTAATGTTGAGCTATAAAGGAACTACAGCACGGTCACATGACTTCACGTCACCACCCGCTAAGCTAAAGGTGGCTAATGTTGGGCTGTAAAGGAACTACAGCACGGTCACATGACTTCACATCACCTCCGCTAAGCTAAAGGTGGCTAATGTTGAGCTATAAAGGAACTACAGCACGGTCACATGACTTCACGTCACCACCGCTAAGCTAAAGGAGGCTAATGTTGGGCTGTAAAGGAACTACAGCACGGTCACATGACTTCACGTCACCACCGCTAAGCTAAAGATGGCTAATGTTGGGCTATAAAGGAACTACAGCACGGTCACATGACTTCACGTCACCACCGCTAAGCTAAAGGTGGCTAATGTTGGGCTATAAAGGAACTACAGCACGGTCACATGACTTCACGTCACCACCGCTAAGCTAAAGGTGGCTAATGTTGAGCTATAAAGGAACTACAGCACGGTCACATGACTTCACGTCACCACCGCTAAGCTAAAGGTGGCTAATGTTGGGCTGTAAAGGAACTACAGCACGGTCACATGACTTCACATCACCTCCGCTAAGCTAAAGGTGGCTAATGTTGAGCTATAAAGGAACTACAGCACGGTCACATGACTTCACGTCACCACCGCTAAGCTAAAGGAGGCTAATGTTGGGCTGTAAAGGAACTACAGCACGGTCACATGACTTCACGTCACCACCGCTAAGCTAAAGATGGCTAATGTTGGGCTATAAAGGAACTACAGCACGGTCACATGACTTCACGTCACCACCGCTAAGCTAAAGGTGGCTAATGTTGGGCTATAAAGGAACTACAGCACGGTCACATGACTTCACGTCACCACCGCTAAGCTAAAGGTGGCTAATGTTGGGCTATAAAGGAACTACAGCACAGTCACATGACTTCACGTCACCACCGCTGAGCTGTGAAAGTGGTAAAATGCTGACTCATTCTTGCACCACTCTCTGAGAGATTATGGAGGAGCTAGCACAATACTAGCTTGACAACCCCTTTTTGGTCGAGCAACCTTTTTCTTGCAAATCGTAGTAGTGTTGCTTGGTATGTGATACATCCTGCTGCGTTCAATTAGCATTTTCCCATATTTACATAAGATATCAAGATACAAATCATCATTTAATACCATGTGTGAATGGAGTCTGTGTGTGACTGATCTCAGTGGGTGTGAGAATATGACAACATCAGTATCACCTCTTCTCTAAAGCGTCACAGTCTTAGGAGAGTTAACACACACACGCACACACACACACACACACACACACACACACACACACACACACACACACACACACACACTGCCAGGCTATTCAGAAGCTGTTAGGATCTTCTTCAGATGTGACGAGAGCTTCAGTATACTAAAATAAAAAGACTCTCGAACTCTGAAAGACCTTTTGAGTATTCCTTTGAAAACCATTTTATAAAATCTGCTTCACTGTGACTGTGATTTCATTGAGTGTCATTACGTTCACACCATATAGTATTTTATTTGTTTGCAATGGATTGACTTCCTGTCGAGGGTGTCCCCCCTGCCCTCTGTGAAATGCGTGCTGGGACGGGCATCATGACACTTTCAAAAAATAAATAAATAAATAAAACCCACTTCAGCAAATGAGTGACGAGCAGGATCTATAATTCCCAGGATCGTTGATCACATGCCTCGCTGCGTTCAGGACGCTCTGCTGGGTTTGTGTTTCAGTGTTTCAGTGTTTCAGGCGTGTGTACTCAGAACATTTACCATCGCTAATAAGTGTTTACTTTCCTGTGACAATTATTTGTATCTGCCGGTTTGATGATTGGAGAGATGTTTGCCCTGTCTGAGAGCTGATTTAGCTCAAAAATATAAATCAATTGTTAAATAAAGCCTTGTGGGTGAGGAAGCATCATAAGGGGATTTTTACACTCCCAGAGATCCATTAGGCTTAGAGGGGAAATATGACGACATATTCATGATTTCTGTCTTTTTTTTCTTAAGAGTCTGGATACATTTGATCGTTTTTTGGCATTAAAAATGTTGGATTTAACGAGGACATATGACGACACTGAAGATATTCATCTTTCTTAAGAGACACTACATACTGATATACACCTGAACATCAGCAGGAGAGGACTCTTTAAAGTAGAGACACTACATACTGATATACACCTGAACATCAGCAGGAGAGGACTCTTTAAAGTAGAGACACTACATACTGATATACACCTGAACATCAGCAGGAGAGGACTCTTTAAAGTAGAGACACTACATACTGATATACACCTGAACATCAGCAGGAGAGGACTCTTTAAAGTAGAGACACTACATACTGATATACACCTGAACATCAGCAGGAGAGGACTCTTTAAAGTAGAGACACTACATACTGATATACACCTGAACATCAGCAGGAGAGGACTCTTTAAAGTAGAGACACTACATACTGATATACACCTGAACATCAGCAGCAGAGGACTCTTTAAAGTAGAGACACTACATACTGATATACACCTGAACATCAGCAGGAGAGGACTCTTTAAAGTAGAGACACTACATACTGATATACACCTGAACATCAGCAGGAGAGGACTCTTTAAAGTAGAGGACACTACAAACTGATATACACCTGAACATCAGCAGGAGAGGACTCTTTAAAGTAGAGACACTACATACTGATATACACCTGAACATCAGCAGGAGAGGACTCTTTAAAGTAGAGACACTACATACTGATATACACCTGAACATCAGCAGCAGAGGACTCTTTAAAGTAGAGACACTACATACTGATATACACCTGAACATCAGCAGGAGAGGACTCTTTAAAGTAGAGACACTACATACTGATATACACCTGAACATCAGCAGGAGAGGACTCTTTAAAGTAGAGACACTACATACTGATATACACCTGAACATCAGCAGGAGAGGACTCTTTAAAGTAGAGACACTACATACTGATATACACCTGAACATCAGCAGGAGAGGACTCTTTAAAGTAGAGACACTACATACTGATATACACCTGAACATCAGCAGGAGAGGACTCTTTAAAGTAGAGACACTACATACTGATATACACCTGAACATCAGCAGGAGAGGACTCTTTAAAGTAGAGACACTACATACTGATATACACCTGAACATCAGCAGGAGAGGACTCTTTAAAGTAGAGACACTACATACTGATATACACCTGAACATCAGCAGGAGAGGACTCTTTAAAGTAGAGACACTACATACTGATATACACCTGAACATCAGCAGGAGAGGACTCTTTAAAGTAGAGGCACTACATACTGATATACACCTGAACATCAGCAGGAGAGGACTCTTTAAAGTAGAGACACTACATACACCTGAGAATGTCCTCTCTGATGAATGTCGATTGTCAATAAATCAACACATTTTAACAGTTTATTTCATTAACATGTTCTTTCTAATAAATATATCGTACTTAAAATCTCGTCATCTACATTACATGTCCCTTTTTGTCACATTTTCCATTGTGTATTTTGAAAAACACGTCTGAAGTTGCATAATACACTCTCTGAAATGCACACACAGCAGCAGTTTGTTTTGCTTAAATCAGCAGCGAGTGTTAGTTGTTTGATGTTCAGCATTAAGGCACAGCTCCAATCCCCCGACTGGCTCTTTGTGACCTCAGTTTCGGGGGAGCAGCAGCATCATATTCTGTAAACGACCCTCGACCTCTGACCTCTGAGGCTTTGGGACTCGGGTATCTCGATGATATGTGAGGACAGGGAGAAGGATTTGAACAGCTTGTCATCTCTCATCACAGCGAATGGTACTGATGAGGCTGAAGTAACGTCAGTCTCACACATTACATCACATTACATGTCACTTGTTAGACGATTTTATCCAAAGCGACTTACATACTCAATACTGTGGACAATCCCCACAGGAGCACTTTGGGGTGAAGTGTCTCAGGGACACAACTACATGCTGACTGCAGTGGGGTTTGAACCTGTGATCCTCTGATCCCCCTGATCCGATCACCAACGCACTAACCCACTGTGCCACACGCCTCCATCTATATGTTCACTTTGTTTTATGGGGTTTTATATTTGATATTGTTGCATCGACTCAGTTGTCTTGTGTCTTATCTGTCATACATTTGACCTCCTTGTGTCCACTAACCTGATCACATGTTATATTTTGCTGCAGGGAATTTCTTGTTGTTTATTTTTAACTTGTGATGTGTCATTTGGTAAAGCATGAGCTGCATGTGTTGTAGAAAAAGTGCTGTATAAATAAAGCTTTATTATTTTTTATTTTTTTTTATCATCAGAGGGACAGGAAATAAACAAGGAGAGTGTTTCCAGCTTCCTGATCATTGATTTTTTGTGATGATCAACAACTGGAGGTCACAGTTTGCCCTTCTTTTCATCCCCTGCCTTTAAACCAACCCGGTCAATCTGCCTGCTGTCAGTAACCATGAATGCATCAGCTTCATTTCCTCAGTGGTTAAAAACAGGCAGCTGTTTAAAGAAATAAGGAAATGGTGAAAGCCTTTGGGAGCGAGGTAATTGCAGAGCGTTAAAAGCAGTCAATGGACAGGCAGCCTGCATAGGGAACACACATACACACACACACACACACACACACACACACACACACACACACACACACACACACACACACACACACACACACACACACACTTTGCTGCTCTGATCTGCTGCAGTGGCTGGGATACTCTCGCCTGCAGATGCATTATGTGTGTGTGTGTGTGTGTGTGTGTGTGTGTGTGTGTGTGTGTGTGTGTGTGTGTGTGTGTGTGTGTGTGTGTTATAAGCATGCATGCACACAGAGAAAGCATCCATGTGTGCATTTAAAGAATAAAAAGGCTGCGGAGGGATACGAGAGATTCCCACTTTAAGTGCTGAGGTGTTAAATGGCAGCAGACAGGACGTCCACACATTCATTCCATGATGCATTCTCACACACACACACACACACACACACACACACACACACACACACACACACACACACACACACACTCACCGATCTGAACGCTGCTCGGGAAAGCTCCCATTGTCAGTCCCCAAAAGCCCGAGAACATCAACAGGAACCAGTCGCCGGAAGAAATCCTCATTTTGTCTCGGTTATAAACTGATGAGAGACATCGAGCAGGTTTTAATTATAACACCTCCGGGGCAAAAGCAACATCACAGGGTTGAAGAAAAAACAAAACGAGATAAACCACAGCGAGAGGTTTCTATATGTGTGTACAAAAGAAAAAGCGAAGCGTAATGTCCGTTAATTATCCATGTGTGCGCTCTTTGGATGGATCGCTCTCCGTCAAACTGTCTGGAGGTTTTGCGCACAACATCCACCACCAACACCACCGAGAGGAGTGAAGGGTGGGGGGTGAGGAGGGTGAGGAAGAGGAGGGTGAGGAGGAAGAGGAGGAGGATCAGCCAGCGGCCGTCTGGATGCGGCTCCACTCAAATCACAGAACACACTTGCGCCTTTTTACGCGACCCGGACAGGAGGCAGGAGGGAAAGAGGAGAGAGGAAAGAGGAGAGAGGAAAGAGAGGAGAGAGGAAAGAGGAGAGAGGAAAGAGGAGAGAGGAAAGAGGAGAGAGGAAAGAGAGGAGAGACACAACTTCCAGAGGAGAAACAAACATAGAAAATACACCGGGAGTGAGAGGAGGGATGGCTGACAGGACATGTTGTATACACTGTGTGACATTATGACAGCTCTGTTTGCATGAGGAAGAGAAATGTTCTCAACTCCAATATGAGACTCACTGCTGTCCTTTTAAAGTGCCATTAACATGCATTCATTAGGATGTAAGGATTGTTTTCTATGAGATTTAATTGGCTTTCACACTGGATTGGTGCCATTTAAATTGCATGCATGACCTATAGCCGATAGAGACTGTTGTCTGTGATGTTTGCAGGATTACATTGGCTTCAAACTGGATTAATTGGTGGATATGTTTTACAGTGTGACATTAGAGAGGAGAGAGGAGAGACAACACTTCCAGAGAGGAGAAACAAACATGGGGAATATGAGGAGAGGAGGGATGGCTGACAGGACATGTTTTAATACTGTGGGACATTATGACAGACAGCTCTGTTTGCATGAGGAAGAGAAATGTTCTCAACTCCAATAGTGTCCTTTTAAAGTGCCATTAACATGCATTCATTAGGATTTAAGGATTGTTGATTTAATTGGCTTTCTCACTGGATTGGTGCCATTCAAAATGCATTTCTTACACACATGTACATGCATGACCTGTAACCTATAAGGACTGTTGTCTATGATGCAGGATCATTGGCTTCAAACTGGATTATTTGATGTATAAAAGGCTGTTTTTTACAGTGTGTTTTTATAAAAAGAGCTCCTTTTTGCATGATAGGACAAATGCTTGAACTTCAACACGACAATGTTACATTTGGTCTAATACCCAAATAAAAAAATGATCATATTGAATTTGAAATGCATTTATACCGAACGTTATTGCATGATGGAGTTATAAACTATAAGGATCGATTTCTGTGTGTTTTGCAGGATGACATTAAATTCACAGTGGATTATTTTATATTTTCTTTACATGATAAGAGAAATGTTGTTAAATCTAACATTAGCCGCATATTCTCAATGTCCTCAAGTTGCCTTTTAATGCATTCATTTACAAAATGAATGCATGAACAACATTTAATCTGTAAGGATGGTTGTCTATGTGTTCTGCAAGATTAAATTGGATCACACTATTTCTTTATTGCTGAAAAGATATTGTTTTTTTTGTTGTTTTTAATCCAACATGAGTCTTTTCTTACCCTCCTCTTTATGCTTTAATCATTTTACACACAGCCTTTCTTTAAAATGTCATTTCAAATGCATTAATCGCCATAATTAACAGAATTATAAGGATTTTTTTTCCAGGATTAAATTTGCTTCACGCTGGATTATTTAGTTTCATATCATTTTTCCCTGTGTCTCATTACGTGCACTATAAATAAAGGAAACAACATGAACACTGCTGATTTACAGCTCTCAGTGTAATACATGCTTTAATAGGGAGCTGCACAGAAGCTCTTTAAAGCACACAGCTCTGTTAACCCTTGACTTTTAAAGGTTCAAAGAAAGTCATAAATGTGTCTGAGCTGCAGTTCCTCTGGCAGCCACTAGAGGCAGTGTTTTAAAGTCAGTCCTTCGTCACTTTATCATCTAAACTAGAGCAACTAATACAGAAATACTTCATTTATAAAGTGAATAATGTTCCAGTGTAATATGTGAGCCATTACCTGAGTTTATTAAATACGTTTTGTTTATTTTGTAATGTTATTATAGTTTTCTTCAAATTGTTCTCTAGCTGTGTATTTAATCTTTGTTTTATTTTATGTATGTGTTAACCTACCTGCTAATAAACCTGTTTCTGATTCTGTTCCTGATTTCAAATGTCTTGTTTTATTAGTATACACGGCCTACAGATATTATGTGTTGAATATTTATCGACTCACCTTAGTTGTTTACCCCCTGAACATATTTGTTGACACCCCTTGGTCTCCTGTTTGCGATATTAGGCAAGCCCCCAGGAAGTGCGCCGGACTCTGATGAAAATATTCGTTGTGTCCAAACGGCGGTACTACAATTTCCGTATCAGCCCGTGACGTCACTGGGCCCAGAAAGACTTTTCCCCATTAGGCGCGTTCCCACCGGAGTACTTTTACCCGTACTTTTCCCGTTTAGTTCCGTTAGTGCCTGGAATTTTGCGTTCACACCAAAAAGTACGGTGGCCCGGAAGTGCAAGACACCACAGCATTTCACAAAACACCACAGCATTTCAGAAAACACAACAGCATTTCAGAAAACACTACAGCATTTCACTAAACACTACAGCATTTCACTAAACACAACAGCATTTCAGAAAACACTACAGCATTTCACTAAACACTACAGCATTTCACTAAACACAACAGCATTTCAGAAAACACTACAGCATTTCACTAAACACTACAGCATTTCACTAAACACTACAGCATTTCAGAAAACACTACAGCATTTCAGAAAACACTACAGCATTTCACTAAACACTACAGCATTTCAGAAAACACTACAGCATTTCAGAAAACACTACAGCATTTCACTAAACACTACAGCATTTCACTAAACACAACAGCATTTCAGAAAACACTACAGCATTTCACTAAACACTACAGCATTTCAGAAAACACTACAGCATTTCAGAAAACACTACAGCATTTCAGAAAACACTACAGCATTTCAGAAAACACTACAGCATTTCACTAAACACTACAGCATTTCAGAAAACACTACAGCATTTCAGAAACACTACAGCATTTCACTAAACACTACAGCATTTCACTAAACACTACAGCATTTCACTAAACACCACAGCATTTCAGAAAACACTACAGCATTTCAGAAAACACTACAGCATTTCAGAAAATACTACAGCATTTCAGAAAACACTACAGCATTTCAGAAAACACTACAGCATTTCACTAAACACTACAGCATTTCACAAAACACAACAGCATTTCACTAAACACTACAGCATTTCAGAAAACACTACAGCATTTCAGAAAACACTGCAGCATTTCACTAAACACTACAGCCTTTCACTAAACACTACAGCATTTCACTAAACACTACAGCATTTCAGAAAACACTACAGCATTTCAGAAAACACTACAGCATTTCACTAAACACTACAGCATTTCAGAAAACACTACAGCATTTCAGAAAACACTGCAGCATTTCACTAAACACTACAGCATTTCACTAAACACTACAGCATTTCACTAAACACTACAGCATTTCAGAAAACACTACAGCATTTCAGAAAACACTACAGCATTTCACTAAACACTACAGCATTTCAGAAAACACTACAGCATTTCACTAAACACTACAGCATTTCAGAAAACACTACAGCATTTCAGAAAACACTACAGCATTTCACTAAACACTACAGCATTTCACTAAACACCACAGCATTTCAGAAAACACTACAGCATTTCAGAAAACACTACAGCATTTCAGAAAACACTACAGCATTTCAGAAAACACTACAGCATTTCAGAAAACACTACAGCATTTCACTAAACACTACAGCATTTCACAAAACACAACAGCATTTCACTAAACACTACAGCATTTCAGAAAACACTACAGCATTTCAGAAAACACTGCAGCATTTCACTAAACACTACAGCCTTTCACTAAACACTACAGCATTTCACTAAACACTACAGCATTTCAGAAAACACTACAGCATTTCAGAAAACACTACAGCATTTCACTAAACACTACAGCATTTCAGAAAACACTACAGCATTTCAGAAAACACTGCAGCATTTCACTAAACACTACAGCATTTCACTAAACACTACAGCATTTCACTAAACACTACAGCATTTCAGAAAACACTACAGCATTTCAGAAAACACTACAGCATTTCACTAAACACTACAGCATTTCAGAAAACACTACAGCATTTCAGAAAACACTACAGCATTTCACTAAACACTACAGCATTTCACTAAACACCACAGCATTTCAGAAAACACTACAGCATTTCAGAAAACACTACAGCATTTCAGAAAACACCACAGCATTTCACAAAACACTACAGCATTTCAGAAAACACCACAGCATTTCACAAAAAACTACAGCATTTCAGAAAACACTACAGCATTTCAGAAAACACTACAGCATTTCAGAAAACACTGCAGCATTTCACTAAACACTACAGCATTTCAGAAAACACTACAGCATTTCAGAAAACACTACAGCATTTCACTAAACACTACAGCATTTCACAAAACACAACAGCATTTCACTAAACACTACAGCATTTCAGAAAACACTACAGCATTTCAGAAAACAATACAGCATTTCACTAAACACTACAGCATTTCACTAAACACTACAGCATTTCACTAAACACTACAGCATTTCAGAAAACACTACAGCATTTCAGAAAACACTGCAGCATTTCAGAAAACACCACAGCGTTTCAGAAAACACTACAGCATTTCAGAAAACACTACAGCATTTCAGAAAACACTACAGCAATTCACTAAACACCACAGCATTTCAGAAAACACTACAGCATTTCAGAAAACACTACAGCATTTCAGAAAACACTACAGCATTTCAGAAAACAATACAGCATTTCACTAAACACTACAGCATTTCACAAAACACTACAGCATTTCAGAAAACACCACAGCATTTCACAAAACACTACAGCATTTCAGAAAACACTGCAGCATTTCAGAAAACACTACAGCATTTCAGAAAACACTACAGCATTTCAGAAAACACTACAGCATTTCAGAAAACACTACAGCATTT